CTAAATACGCACACTATATGCAGACGACATACTGCTATATATGCATCATCCTGAAAAAGCTACAACATATATACGAACACATATTAACATTTTGCAAGGCTACTTTAAATATTTGAAATTAGTAAACTCAAAGAAAACACAAGTCATTTCATTTACTACCAAGAAAAATAGTTTGCTAAAATAGAAGATAAATCTATCTCCTGGACTTCCACAGTAAAATATATAGGCATCATTCTCGATTCTAAAATTACTGGGGTTCCTGCAAAAACAAACACAATTCGTATATCTTGCATGTTAGGGTTTCTGATGGCTATGGATTAAAGAATGGATGGATTTAGAAACAGAAGGATTTCTGGGTGGGAGATTACGCATCAGAGTCGCTGCCTAGATATATCAGTGGAGCTGATAGCAACGACCCCTAACCTCAGATGCTTGTTATAACCAACCGCCAAGGCTGGACGGGCACCTATCCTAGCGGTGTTCCGCGCTTAACATAGAGATCGCTGGGACTTCGACGTTAGACGCACAGCCACTTGCGGCTTGTGTTAGTCAGGTTCGGGTCTCATACTTGAGGAATCATAGGCCGCATCATCTTCTCCCCAGTAATAAAGATGCTGAAAAGAAGAGGCTCATAGTTCTGGTGCGGCCGATGAAGGAGTGATACTGGATAATGTTGCCGGCTGCGCTCCGTTTTTCATGTTTTGCTTCGGTCCTGGTATCTTTTCGTCTAAGTCTAGTCACTCAGGGCCAGCACCTGTCCGTGTGACTGCATTCGACGGAGGCGCTGCGTGTGCGTGGCTGTTGCGTGTTTACTACGTGTTGCATGCGTGCTAGCTGCTTTGCGACCCCGATATGACGCCTGCATGTTGCACATGCGTGTGGCAGCAACATGTTGCCTGTATTGTATATGGGCATCTTCTGTGACTGTCTGCATTCGGCGGAGGTGCTACGCGCGTATGTGTGGGCGTCATACGGTCATCTGTTTCGGTGGATGCGCTGCGTGTGTGTAGGCGTTCTCCGCGACCGTCTGCATGCCATAATGGCCAGCTGTTGTTTTCTTGGCATTCGACCTCGGTATGGTCAACTTTTACAGACGTTTTGTATCTGATGCCGCGAAAATAATAACATCGTTAAATAACTTGCTAAAAGGATGGAATAAAGACAATATACCGACCCAATGGATAGAAGTAGCAGAGAAGGTTTCTAAGCAAGATTTCACGAATGCCACATTGCTCGCACATCCGAAAATGGCCAGATCCATCTTTTTTTTTCCTCCTAAGTTTTCTTTACTGCAATCCCTGGGGTGACGTAACACTGTAACCTGCATTTATCATGAATAAATTAATTGGTTAGTGACATTGAGGTGTTAATATTGTGTATAATGTTGTTTCATTGCTGCAGGAGAAAATTTTCAAAAACCTGCATCTCTTGTGAATGATCTTGAGTGTATGCATGTAATTGCATGTTTCGGGAGTCTTGTCCTGATTTTTAAAGGTGTGTTGGTTTGGTAGTTTCCGGTGTTACTGATGAGCTGGTTTTGGTGATGGGGGTGATATGCGTGTGTAAGTTGGTAATGAATTCCAGTATGATTGGTATGTTAGCGATTTCGTGTAGTTGTTTGATGGAGGTATCGTAAAATTTGCCGAGTATTACTCGAAGGATCTTATTTTGTATTTTTTGTATTTTATTAATCTGTGATTTGGCGACTGCTGCCCAGATTTGGTGCCCATACGTGATGGGCCTTATGCATGATTTGTAGAGATTGAGTTTGATGTTGGTCTTAATATTACTACTTACTTTCATGATATGATGAGTAGAGTCTTCGAAGTGCTGTGTAGGAAACACAACCCAGGCAGCATGATAAATATAACTTCAACAACCTGGAACGCAGTACCGTTAGGGCCATAAAGTAATTATCAAAATTCTCTTACGGGAGTTATCGGGCAAACTGCAGAAAAACAATATACTTTCTGATCCCTTGACCAGAAAGGACACAAAGGGGTAAATAAGAGCCGACTCCAAAACGCCACTCACAGTAAGTTTTCTAAAACCGAAGGTCCACGCAACATCTGCGTGTGCAGCCTGTTCGTGTCGCAGCTCTCGCAAAACTCTCGCAATAAATAATTAGTGAGTGGACGATTGTCCTCTCTGTACATATTTGTATATTAGTGTAAAAAAACTCTAAATTTGTGACCAGCCAACATGAGATAAATACGCAATCACGAGAAACGGAGCTCACATCAACTATAAGGAAGGGACGCCACATAGACAGGATGCAACAACACCAAGAAGGATGCAAAATCGAGGACGGATGCCAAAAAGAACTACAATTGGCCACCATGGCATGTAAACGGTCGCAGAAAACGCCCATACATACGCGCGCAGCGTCACCGCCGAATCTAGCCACACAGAGCCTCAAACATAGATGCCGGCCCTAAGTGACCAGACTTAGACGAAAAAGCACCGAATCAAAACATGAAAAACGGAGAGCAGCCGTTAATATCATCTGGCATCACACTTCCATCGGCCACACCGCAACTATGAACCTCTCCTTCTCAGTACGGTTATTACTGGGGAGGAGATGATGCGGCCTATGATTCCTCAAGTACAAGACCCAAACACCCGACTAGCACAAGCCACAAGTGGCTGTGCATCTAGCGTCGAAGTCCCAGCGATCTCGATGTATCAAACAAGCAGCGTTGCGGAATATCGCTAGGATGAGTGACCGCATAGCGGCTAGTTACAAAAACAAACGTCTGGGGTAGGGGTCGCTGCCATCAGCCCAAATGATGAATCTAGGCATCGACTTAGACGAAACCTCCACCTTTCTCACCTACCCAAATCCTTCCTAAATCCACCCATCCTTTAATTCCATTATCAATTGAAATTTAACAATTATTTTATATTATAAAAACATTATGCTGATATTTTTTGGAAAATACTACATTTTAAAGTACAAGTATTCTAATAACCGAAGTATTGCAACGAATTAAAAGGATTTTCTTTAGGCTGATAAAATTTAGATTACATTTTTTTTTATTCATTTTTATAATTCCAAAAGATAATATTTCTCCTAAAAATTTGTACAAGTGACACGAGGAAATTCTGTTATAGCTAAGATTAAAACAGGATTAAAAATTTTAAAAATTTTAGAAACATTTTTACGTATATGCTCCTGATCGTGAAATTTAAAGCATATGAAGATTTCAAACTAATCACATTTTTAAATAAATAAATATTTTAAATAAATAGTATATATTTATAATTTTATATTTTTATAATAGTGAAATTTTTATTAATTATATTTGAAAATAAAAGTTATAATTATAATATTCTTGGTTCTTAAAAAATTGTATGAAAAAGTTATAAAGTAAAAGATGTTTTGAATTTTTGAATGGAAATGCATATACATCAGAGATTTTGATTTGATAATACAACAATGCATAAATAGAATTATACTCACTCGATGTGAATTTGCAGTAAATAAAATCATGACTGGAAACTTCTCATCAGATAATGTATCTATGAATTTTCGTCAAATAATGAAATGATTTCCACAATGTCGTCGATGTGAGAGGCAAGGGTAATGAAGTGCGATTAGCGGATGCATTTTAATATTCTATATTCTATATTATAGACCAGTTCATGAATTCTATTTCTTTCCTGTCCATATTCCATTGCATTGTGAATAATCGCAAAATTCAAGTTGATCTTTTTCGAAGAAAAGGAGAAAAATTAATCTCCGATTGATTTTCGTAGTTGTTAGCTGAAAATATGAAAGTATTGTGAGAAGCACAACTTTATAGATGTGCACATAAATTATTCTTCGTTGTTATTAACATATTATCGCCAGATAATTTTTGAATATTTATGTAAAAAAATAAGTAGTATGATTGATCAACAATGTATTACCATTAAGCCACAATACAGAAATATTTTATGCAATTATCGCTATTTTTAATAATTTTCCAAAGTTTCAAGTATTTTCTATTTGCCTGTAATAAGAAATAATCGTTGTAATGTCTGCTTGTAACAAAAAATAATCGTTGATTCAGGTCATCGTTAGAATCGAATTCACGGTACAGTGAACGAGTGTATGTACAAAGATTTTACAGAAAAATATAAATAAATATAATTAAAAATATATCATTTCTTTTTAAGAAAATATATTTCTACATTATTGTAATCTTAAGTTCACAATAAAAAACCGTACGGATTCCGATTTCATTTAAAATTTGTGAGAATTCTTAATATATGAGTCTTCATATAGATGTTTATCGATATTGAATAACTGAAAAATATTAAAGTCAAAATTAAATGAAATTCATTCTAAATATCGACGAATTCTACACAGTGCTACGAAAATGTATTGAAACCATCGTTGATAGTTGACCTTAAATAAGATGATAAATATTAAAGCTAAAAAACTTGACTGCAAAAATTATTATTCAAAATTGGAATTAATAAATATTTTTCGTTACAGGTGTTGCAGACATTTATAATAATATTAAAAAATTGACTATGCTGCTTTTAATTATTTAAAATATAAAAACAACTTTGTAAATCTCAATTAATCTCGATAACAATAATAGGAATAAATTTATACCTGTGATTGGAAGTTTTAATTGTACTTGTTTTAATTATACTGATTCTAAGCCAAACTTCCCAACTTTTTGTACTGAATGATTTTCATTACATTTTTCCTCGTAGTATAAAAATGCGAAGAAAATAGTGTCTTTCTTTCGTTGTGGACACTGCGACGGCTGTGCAAATACTGTTACAGCCACAAGTTTCTGCTTTTCCAATACTTAAAAAAAGAAATTTAAAAAAATGAGAAATGTAAAGAGGGAAAAGAAATTCTTTCGAGACTATAATTTTCCTGAAGTCAACATTTATTATGCAACATTCTCTCGTAGAGTGCAAATGAATTCAATCGATTGCTAGTGTGTAGCCGTAATTTTCATTCATCATAGTTTAATTTCACAGAGACGTGTCACGATGGAAATTCTAGAAGAAGAGATAATGCCATGAATAATAAATGAAGGCGAGGTATCTTGGAATGATTGCACGAAATTTATGCTCAGAAACTCTTTGACGATCAACATGGATGTGTTCGAGAAACAATACAACAGCTATCGTGTCGTATCGTGCATAATAGGACTCTGGCCATATCAGAAAACGATTTATACAGTAATTAAGAGAATATTCATATCTATCATTTTATTGGTCAATCTAGTGTTCCAGGTAAAGAAAATTATGATCTTTTGTTAATATATATGCAGTTCATATGTAGTACAATATTTTCTCTGTATTTTCATAGAGATCTTAAATATTGTTTTTAAAAAGTAATTATTTATATGTGTATCGCATTACACTAATATAATATAACATTGTTGAATCTAACATTGTGTATGTATAATATAACATTGTCGATGTGTATTCGTTTCACAGATTTGGATGATTTTTAAATATGTTTAGAAATTGATAGTTTGATAAGATTCGATATCGTTTATTATTAGTTTCTGAATATTTAGAAAAAATTGCCGCTGCAATATATATGAATTCCACCTGCAAATGTGCATCTATGTTAATGTTGATTGCCCCCGACCGAATATAATAACCAGATTCGAACCTATTTTTTTATCTTTCATTTATAGTCTTATTTTTATATGCGTGTGTTCTGCGACGACGATGAATGTGTTGACTATGCTTATGATTGTGTTACAGATAGAAACAATTCAATGTGCTAATATTAGTAGTCTTTTACATACCTCGTTCTTTTAAATATCTCGAAAACTCAATGGACCGAAGAAAGAGGTTGTTCAAATTGTCAATTTTTGTAATATATTTAAAAATCAGCCAAATCGACAGATTAATCATAATTTAAAATTCTGAGATACAGTCAGTTATATCACAATTTTGAAAATCTGTATGTTAAAATCCTGCACTGTATGTTAAAAAAAATCATGCGTGTGAAAATATTGTACTGCCTTTGCTCGAGTGTTCACGTAAGAATTCTAGTTAGAGGAAGCGAATTTTCTCCTAAGATTGCGTTAAGAGTTTCTCTTTAGAAGAGAAATATATATTCTCACCGGCATACTTTGCAAATATATTTTCGCGATTTATAATCTCACAATTTTCACAAGTATCTCATAAGCATCTCGAACTCATAATTTTTTCAAGAATTTTTTTCTTTCCATCGTTGTATACGTTCTTTCTTTCAAGCAAACATCATTTTATTGCATGTATTTTATTGCATCTTTGACCTGGCCGCTCTTATTTAAACACTATCTCTTTGTAACTAAATCTTTTAAACTTCATAGAATCTATATGGTCATACAGTCTTTTAAACAATCTTCGGTCATATCATATTCATACCAATCGCCCGAAGCTATTCTAAACGCTACAGGCACATGCCATATATATATTTTTTTATTTTATTTAGTATATCCACAACTAGCTTCATGAAGCTAACCAGAAGATTTGATAAATTTGAGGTGGCTTGTGTGCGGTAAACGCTTCTTAGTGTTGCCGCTAATAATGTTTGTGATGTCCTTTTTTAACCTAGTTTTGCAAGTCGATTGGCTTGTTTCGTTTTAATCTTTTGTACTGTGGTTTGTGATTTAAATTCTTGACAGATTCATTGGGATGATTTAATAGACGATTTTTATGGGCTGTAGCGAATTTTTTTATTTGTTGTTTGATATTGAGTATACTTAGATCTTTATGTAGCAATATACCATGGGTCAGCTGCAATATCTCTCAAGGCTCTATTCTGTAATATTTGAATGATGTCTATGTTACTTTTCTTGTCACGTCCCCAGAGTTGTATCCCATATTTCCAGATTGGAATAATGGCGACCTTATACAGTAGTTGTTGCATAATGTAAGTTTCGATTTTCGTCCCAGAATCCAATACATGGTTTTCATTTCGTGGTTAAGATGCTTTCTCTTCTTTTTATGTGGTCTTTCCATGTGATTCTTTTGTCCATGTGCAGACCAAGGTATCTGAAACAGTGCTTTGTCTCAAGGTTTTCGCTGTATAGATTGACTGCAGGACACTTAACATGCCTGATAGTAAATGTGATGTGTGCTGATTTGTTTGCGTTGATTCTAATTTTCCACTTTTTGGCCCAGTCTTATTCAAAGCTCCCTGCAGGAATTGCCTCCACAGGATTTTCATGGGAAGCCAAGAACGCGGTGTCATCCGCGAATGTGACCACAAGTTTCCGTCATCAGGAAGGTCTGGTGTACAAATTTGATGTAATGTGGGACCTAAGATGCTACTTTGAGGAACGCTCGCATGTATTGGGTAGATCTTTGAATATTTGTCGTTTTGATTTACCTGGAATAACCTGTCAGTTAAGTAGGATTTTAGCAGTTTATAGCAGTATGGAAGATTTTGTTTAATTTTGTATAACAAGCCCCGGTGTCATACTCTATCAAAAGCTTGACTAATGTCAATAAATGTAGCGGAGCATACCATGCGTTTCTCAAACACTGACTATACGATGTGCTTGTTCAATAGTAGAGTGTTGCTTACGAAATCTGAATTGATGTTGTGGGATTAGACGTTATTCTGTCAATATTGGTTTCAGTCTATTTAAATGTAGTCTTTCAAATAGTTCTGACAAGATTGGTAGCAGTCAGATAGGCCTATAGGAAGTCACCTCTGTGGGTGATTTATCAGGCTTTTGAAGGAGAATTATGCAAATTTCCATTGGATAGGAAAATACTTGACTCTTAGTAGATGCCTTTTTTGGTGTTTCCTTTAACATTTTAGCAGTGATAAGATCATATCCAGGTACTTATTTATCGTTGAGTTCTCTTTGTTTCTTGTGCTATTTCTTTGGGACTGAAATATTTGATGGGTTCATAAGGTTGCGAGGGAGCGTTAAGAAAATTTGTAATGTCTCTGTAGTCGTTATCGGGCATTGGTATGTCATTTGGCCTGAATATTGTATTTAAGTGTTTTGTAAATGTTTACAGCTTTTTCTTGATCATTTCTGGCCCATTGGTTGTTTTCCATTTTTATGGGTGGAGTATGTTTAGTTGGCCTTTTCAGCTTTTTTGTGATTTTCCACAAGTAGTTATCTTCTTGCCGCCAAGACAAACTTTGTAGATACTCCTGGATACGCTCATTAGTAGTTTTGTGCAGCAGATTTGTGAGCTCTCTGGCTAGCTTGTTTAGCTTCCTCTTATCATCAGTGTGCCTCGACAGTTACCATTTCATCCTTGCTTTCCTCATTTCTGCAATTTTGATTCTCACGGATTCTCATGGATGGTTCATTGCGTGTTGATTTTCAGTTTTGGCTTCAGACGTCGAATGATATGCTGCATCTTGTAGTGTCTTAGTTAAAAGTTCTACTGCCTGATCTATGTTGTTTGCAGTTTTTAATAGAATTTTTAGATCTATATAATCTTTTATATAGTGCTATATAGAGAGGCCAGTCTGTTTTCGAATTTGTCCAGTAGGGCCGTTCTTCGTTTTCTACAAACCAAGAGCTCAGTATAAGTATGATTGGTGAATGATGAGATGACAAAACGAAATTTGAATTTACCTCAATCTAGCTGACCTTTGATTATAAAAAAGTCAAGTAGATCTGGTGTTTTTTTTTGAGGTTGGCTAGTAGGTCGGTTCGCCCATGCCGATGTGATTATATTCTTATATATTCCATTATATCTTTATATCCTCTTGATGTCATTATTTTATGGAGTTCTTTGCCTTTTGGATTGCTGAGTCTTGAAACCCCATTGAGGGTGCTTTGCGTTATAATCTCCACCTGAGATAAATCTCACACCTAGTGTGTTAAAGAATTTATCAAATTTATCTTTACTTACTGTCTATGTGGACAAATTTATCTTTACTTATGTCTAGGTGGACAGTAGACCGCAGCAATGACGAGTGAACCGTATGCATCTTTTATTTCGACACTAGTTAACTGCAGAAAAGCTTCTTCGAATTTTATTGATTTGGCGTGCGATATCTTTCTTTCGTTAATAATAATAGCAGTTCCTCCGTGAGCAGTTCTGTCTGGGTGATTAGTGTAATATGTTTTGTACTTGTAAATATTGAAATAGCTTCTGTCAGTAAAATGAGTTTCAGAAATTAGGAGAATGTCTATTTTATTTTCATTTATAGAAATAGTTTTATCTCCCATTTGCGTTGCTGCAAACCGTTTGCATTCCACAAGGCTATTCTTTTGTCAAGCACTGTTATTTTCTGTTGATGAGAACGGTAAGCAGATTTATAATCATGCTATTCTGGTCCATTGATTGTTATTTTAACTATTCTGCATAGTATTACCTTCTGTGGCTTGAGTTTATTTTCACGTATATTATAATTTCTATTTATTGGTGTATATTTATCTGGCTTACTTCTTACTTCCTGCAATTTTTGATACACGCTGCATCCTTTATAATTCGCAGGATACGGATCGCCGCACAACACATATTTTTCAGGAATGTTTTTCTCCTTGGTGCAAATATTTGTCGGATGATTTTCGGCACATTTCACGCAGTTAAATGGCTGACTAGTAAAATACTTCTTTGTATGTCCACATTTTGGACAGCGATGACACTGAGATATCTCCTTCGGTATGGCTTCTATTATGGTGTTAAGAAGAAGTTTTAATTCATGTTTCTTCGTTTTTCTCACCTGGTGCTTGATCCATAAAGAATAAGAGGAGTGGCTCTCTCATTTACCAGCTACAAATATTAGTGACGCTTCTGATTTCAAAACTCTGTTTTCCAATTCATCTTTAATATCCGTTGTTGGGATTGAGCTATACGTAGATTTTTAATAATAACTCTGTAAGACATTTCCTGACGCGGTTGGACGTGTGAAATGCTACGTTACTTACTTTTAGGAAGTGGACTAGTTTTCGATAGGAGTCTGCTGTGATGGTATTTATTTTAATCGAATCTGCTGACATTGACTTGCAGGAAAACTCCTTACCTGTTAAGATAGTTTTAAAACTTTCTAACATAAGTGGGAAGTTTGATATGTTGTCCATAAATATTGGAGGTTTTGTAATAATTGCGTTTGTAATTTGTTTATGTTTTCATTTATATTCTCATTAATTTCATTTTCTTGCATCGGTTCATTGTTATTCAACTCAAAAAATCTATTGTAGTTTTGTGTATCAATATCGTGCAAGGCTTGTTTCTTTCTTATGCAGTTTTTTGTACTGCATCCCTATTTCTTTTATTTCTCCTAGGTTTTATTTATTGCCACGTGAATTCTTGACCTGACATATTCGTATCGATGTATTGTCTAGTTACCTCCTGATGTTGATTAGTTGTGTGTCTACATATATTACTCGCCGTTTCTGTGTGTTGTACTGTTCCATGGTGTCGACATTAGCTAGGTATGTGTACGTTCCTTGGCTTGTGTGATTTCTGTAGTCATAACAGTTGTTCTGCCAAATATAGACAGCCCATATTATGGAGATGCAGAAGTAGAAGATGTAGTTGTGGTCACTGTGTTACTTGTAGAAGTGAATATTGAGATAAGTTCCTCCACTTCCTTGTTGCATTTTGCAACTAACGAGAGTTATTGTAAGATGTTAACTAAAAGGTGGATACACACTTTTCGGGTTTCAATTTCTCAATTTCTTAACGCGTTCATTTATGTATATTTATACTCAAAGATCGCTATGTATACACGTCTATACTTTTCGACTATTCGCACGCGAATGACTCCATATATATAATGTTTTTCTTAACTTGATTAGCATTGTTACAAAGACATATGTGACGTCAGACGACCTACGTTTCTTTAGTCTTCAGGGTTATCGAGGCGATTTCGCATGTTTTGGTACGGGGTGTTCTGTACCGAGGGTGCGAGCGAAGAGAGAATGAATATGCCTGAGAGTATATTGTGTATATGCGTAAGATTATGGAATGTTCGATCGGTATTTGTTTTGAGCAATCGGCTTCAACTGGTTCTTCAAACGGTGAACGAGAGTGAATCTCCGGTAGGGTATTCAATGAACACTATCTTCGACATTCCGTTCCCAAGCTATAATGGACGTTCTGATTGCGAAGTCATAACACGTCATCGATAACTAGTGTTATAAAAGAGGGTAAAAATCGGAAGTTAGAGTTTATCGTTAAAGTCCGTTAAGAGCAGTTATTCTTCTAATTTCAATGAGACAGTTCATCATCTCAGTCTCAATCTCAGTCTTAATTTCAATCTCAGTCTCCCAATTCTACAAATATATATATATATATTCCGATCCTTTGTAAATCGTGAGTGTGAAGATGTACTACTAGTTAGAATATATGTACTTAGTTTAGAATATATACTCTTGTCACAGTGTTCTTAATCATCCACCTTATTCCTGGTGATTAAACTTCTCTTGGGTCTTCTCTTTGGGATTAAATTAAAAGAACGCATTAACTACAGATCACCGCAGATCCGCGGCTGGAACCTATGTGCCGGTTGAGCCAAAATGTTACGTCTCGTCATTCAGTCCGGCTTCGTGATAGCTAGCACTAGCCGTTTCCCCGCAGCCGGGACGTGATACATTCATCATTTATTTGTTTAATATTGTCAAAGTTACTGCACAATGCTATAAAAGAATATTTGGAATGAAAAAGATTAATAATGCACATGTAGAATAACTAATCAAATTATAGAGAAACTATTTTTACTTCGACTTCGATGATGTTTGGATGACATTTTGAACAAGTTTTTCATTTACAAATAACCAACAGCTTACATTAGTTTTCAAGCATTCACAAGAAGTTGTCGGTATCACTATAATAAATTCTGCCTATGATTGCATCCCTAGCAACTTATGTAAGTCATCTGTTTTACGGTGGTCGAATGTAATAAAATAATTTAAATCTAATTCTTACCTTTTGCTTATGATATATGCGTAATGGAAGTAGGGCAAGCTAAACTATATGTACAACTGTATATGTGAGTTTGTAAGATATATCTATAATTGTATTATACATTAATAATGATTTGTATTAATGTGTATTAATATATATATAATCATACATACATTAATGTGTATTAATATATTATATATATATATATATCTTTAATGTATAGATTTGAATTAATCTTTTCAAATCTTTTAATCTGGCAATGTTTGCGTAAGATATTTATGCAAAGTGTCTTGAATTTAAATGTCAGTCACCTTCGGAAGCGTATATAGAACCAATAAACTAAGAAAAAATGTTTTTTAGAGATTTGCTTGTTCTTTTGAAGAAAACGACGAAAAAGAAACAAAAATGTTTTCGTTTTTCATTTATTTATTTATATTTATTGATATTATTATCTATTTTATTATACGTATTACAATTCTATAATATCATCTGCATCATTTATTTAATGAAAATACTGTTGAAAAGATTGGTCACTTACAACAATACAAATATTACATCGAACACTCACCATTCTGATTTGGATTAGCTAGACAATGTTTTGGTAATGTTTGGTGTACTGCAACTGCGATTTGATTTCTTAATTACCGTCTTGAATTGATTGGCAGGGAATAAACTTATTAAATAAATGAGAAACTTAAAATCTTTTTGTTTCCCTTTTTGCAATTTTCTCTGAAATGGAGAAAAACCGACACAATTTCTAAAGTTTTTTCTTTACTTTATGAATTCTTCATACGCTTTCGAAGTTTTAACATTTAAATACTCTGTATTCCAAATAGGTAAATTCAATAAGAAGTATCACTTTCTGTTTTATAATGTATGCTAATAAACAATGTATTTACACAAATTATTCGTTTAAATTTGTAAAGTATGCTACAAACTTTTCCTTCGATTTTTAATTCCAAAATACGTACTATTTGATTTTAGTACTGGCTGATTAATGAATATTGAATACATGTTTTTAGATAATGTCACTTTTGAACTCTGAAATTACGTTACGAAGCTGCGTTTTAACACTGTCTACGACTATTCCATTTCTATTATTTTTCTTACGATATGTTAATTTTATAGAATTTTCTTCAAACGTAAGTGACAATCGATGCTATAAGCTAGATTAATATTTAGTATAAGTTATAAATGTTGCATATATGAATACAGCTCAAATACTTTATTGGCCATATGCGTATGGAAGAAACTCTACTACAAGATTTGGTCGAGGTACAAATATTAACAAAATATGTCGATAATGGAAGTCATGTATTCGATATCTTCCTCTGTAAGAAAACATTTTTCCATTGTTACTGTGAAAGATCAATTAGATTCTAATTCAAAGTTGCCTAATATGAGAGCTCAACCTATTTCTGCTCTAAAACTCTTAAATATTATACTTATACTGTTTTGATTCATAATTAATGATTTATTAGTCGGGTTAGCTGCATATGACCTTGAAATTAATAAAGTGCTTTGGATAAATGCATGGTAGTGAAATACATTGCAGAAAGTTTTTAAAGTAGTTCGATTAAATTAGCTGCAGAATGGTAAACGTATTATTTTCACAAATAGTATTGTAGAAACGTATAAAAATTAATTGTAAAGAACACCAGAGCATGATTTTATATCTCTGAATCAGTGGAGATTTGTAAAAAAAAGCCCGTGTAAATAAATTGATCGTAAGCATCATTTTCAAAGTCAAATTCTTTTCAAGATCACTACCATCAAATCTTGCAAACAAAAAAATTTGAACAGCATCCCAACCAGGGTAGTTCAAACACTTCGTTCTAAATTTATAAAACAGTATGATAAATTGATGGAGAAGCAGCTTCACATTAATCTTTCCTGGCACTCCTCATGTCCTCCACGCGAAATTTCTATAACATCATATTATGTCTACTTTTTGTTTATGAGATTTGATGGCAGAATTTTTTTCCTTGTAAGAAAAAATTGTTGAACAATTAAAATAATTTATTATATAATTTATTATGTAAGAAAAAATTGTTGAACAATTAAAATAATTTATTATATAAAGTCAATACATAATTTTGGAAATGTGGAAAAAAAGAAAGATATGAAATATATAAGGAATTTAAGTATCTAAGTGTAACAATAAGTGCTATATTCCCTGCATTTAACTACATACAAGCAGATTACTTTTATTAATAATAAAATGAATTTAAAAAGCAATGTATTTTAACAATGTATTTTTTTCCAAGAGAATGATTGATTTGCGACCTATGTTTCCTTGGAAATACGTGTAAAGTAATCAGTAGAACAAAATGCAAAAAAAGAATTTGACCTTCAAAATCATAATTAATGTCATTTTGCATGAATTTTAGATCCAGAAATATAGAATCACGTTGCTCTGTTCTTCACAATTGATATTTACATACTCTATACACGTGTATACAATGAAGTTTAAGGCTTATCCATTGTATACCATTAAACTGTTTAAATACTTAAACTCGGGACTATTTAATATTTTTGTGTTAATATTTTTTAATACGAAACTCTATTTTGAGATTTAAGATTATCTTTTATGAAGTATTTTGTTCAACGTCAAGCATTGTTATAGATAAATTTTGTTAAAGAGCGAAAGTAGTGGCACAAAGATCGAAAATAGATTTTACACAATGTGTTAAAAAAAGAGAAGGATTGAGTTTCAAAGATAAATAAAACGGGTCTCATATTATATATAATTTATATAATCTTAACTTTTAAATTTTTATATTTTAAATTTGTATGATACACAGTTTTATTTTATTATCTATTTTATTAAGAAAACAAATCATTTTTATTTTAATTTCCTATATTGCATATTATCTTAATTCCTTACATATCTTAATTTTGGGACGTGTATCGGATTTTGATAAAAGTATTTTTACTTGGAATTGTGAGTTCTTTAAGAGATGGATCTCATATTAAGTAATTTTTTTCTAATTGCGAATAATTAAATACAATATTCAAATATTCTATATTATCTCTAATATTTAAACGTATCTAAAACTGAAGAATTCGATTCGTACAAATACTTTTGCCTTTGTTGTTCACTTTATTACAGTCACTATCAATTTGATGAATATTCGTAATAAAAATACTACTACAGTTATATGAAAATTATAAAACATTTGTATGAAAAAATTTTGTTCTTGAAACAAAGAAAAAATTACAAAAGAATTAGGATTATTTTATATATTTTAACGTTGTTCATGTTTTCTAGTAAAATTGAACAATTTCAATACAAATTAATCATAAATGTTACTAACTGAAGAATGCACAAAAAAAAGGGAAAAAGTTAATTTTTGTTTTCAGTATTTGTTTGCATATTTCTATCTGTTTTTTATTGCTGACTATATCACACATTGCAAATTAAAATTTTCTGAGTTTTATATTTATTTTGGTATATACGAATGAAATATGAAGATATGTGAGAGAAATATGAAGTTGTAACTCTATATATTAAAAAAATAATTTTCATTTTCTAAGAATTCTTGATATTCCTTTTCCCTGAATCCTTCAGCTATTAAAGTATTACACATGCACACATTAATAATTTTAAAATTAATACTAATAATAATAATAATTTTAAAATATACGATATTTTATTATATTCTAATATTACAGATTAATGGATGTTTAAGTATCGATAAAGTATTGGTAAAAAAAAGATGAGCGAAGAGGAAATTGCTTCTTTTTTGAATGTTCAAAGTTGATTTTTTATTGTAGAAACAAAATTTAAGAGAAAAAGCAAGCAAATAAAACAGAATATTTTGATCAGGTACTGTTTAACGTACCAGTTTTTCATGTATTTTCGAATTTCTGCTGAAAAAATTGTTTACATGAAAAATTATCAGTGTCCGGACATTAATGAAAATTAGAAATAAAAATATCTAATTTTTTACTAACAAAATCAAGTTCGTCTTTATTTTCTTAAATAACATCTGTAACATTGAGATGAAGTCATAGATAGATATATTGGTACAGTTGTTCAATAATCTGTTGAGAAAAATATTTTTAATGTAAAAATCATTCATACTGATAATTTTAAAGATAAAAAGGAATAGTAATTTAATTACTATTCCTTTAATTAGATAATTTTTATTTCTGATATTACTTTTTAACGTTAGTATGCTTTCATTATATAATAAATAATGCTACAATTTTTCATTTGACCCATTTTACGACAAACCATTAGACTACCAGAAGTGCTGGAACGTGGTGACCATTACGCTGAACATTCTGCATGAAGGGGGCAATACAAACCAGTAGTATTTATATATACAATACTATGTATACTATACACTTAACTCAAACAAATGTGTGTCTACTTTAATAGTTGCTAATGTTTATGACTGAATTCATTACTAGATTTTCAATTTTACTAAAAACATGTAGAATGAAGAAAACTATGAGTGATTCTCATTCAATAACCGGAGATTGTACATATTACACAACTGTTAGAGCTATAAAAACATAAGTTATTTATTAATTGATTTTCTCAAATTTTAGGGACATGTTCTACGGGGGTTCTAACTTTTACAGCATATTTATTGGGTCCAATAATATTGGACTTAATAGTACCTTTGAATGAACCTCGAACTCGTCTAATTAAATATCTTACAGAGTTTTCTCACGATAAAACGGTTTACCTTGATATCGTTGCTTTGAACTTTGTGTTCATTATTATAGTTGGATTGTTGTGTATTACCTGTACGGAATCGTTCCTCACTATTTTTGCTTACTACTTATCCGGATTATTCAAAATTACTAGGTATGAGTAAGATTACCATGTTTCATAAATTTTCATTCATGTTAAAAATGTACAGAGTGATCACAAATTATATTATTACATGCCACGACCAGCATAACATAATTATACACTCTTGAATCAGTGGACATTTGTTTAAAACAAGTTATTGCAAAATTGAGGTTCATCTTCGAAATCAAATCTTTTTCTTTATTGAATCGTATTTTGGTCGTCACGTGCAATAAATTTGCAGAGAAATCATTAGACGCAATTAAACCATTCTGAATTATTTTCTCAGTACTTTTATATTGGCATTGCGTTACATTGCGCGAGCTATAAGAAAATAAATAGCGTATTATTAGCGATAAAACAGGAAATTGTTTTTTAACATCAGAGATATTTCACTGAAAACAGAGTGAAACAC